TACCCTTTTTGCATACATAGTTACCCACCCTTTTCACTAGCCATCCCTAAGAGTTTATTACAAATTATTACAGCCCAGATTAAAGTAAAAATATACATCAGAAAAAAATATAAATAAAGTACAACCAAGGATAGCCTGATTCAGACTTCATGTCTGAAATATGAAGTAAACCAACTCCACGAGATCAATGATCCAAAGCTTTTCTCCCATTTGAGCGTGTCAAAGTTCCCTAAGAGCCTCAAAGGGACTCCGGGCAATGCTCACACCCAAATGTATTATCAGATTGGGACAAGTACAGTGTGGAAGGGTCAGCCCTCACGTGTCCAAGTTCAGAGGGATCTCAAAGGGTCCCAAGGCAAGGCTCACAAGAGGGGGGCAGAACTTAAAGACTAAGAAAGTGTGCAAGTGCAGAATAGAGTGCTAAGAGGGAAAAGGAAGGGAGAATCAACTATAGATAAGCACACACAAAGGGATTTAGGGGAATAAGGGGTTGTAAAGAGCCTGTCGCTTAGGCAAAAAGCAGACTTTGGGCATGCCCAGCAATGGGAATGCTGGCACACCTATAAGCCTGCCAGAACACATGCTGTTAGAGGCTAGGATCCCCAGGGGATCAAGTTCAATTCATGGACAATAACTTGCATATTGCCATGCCTCAAACCATAGCTTAAACACATAGGGGGCAGGGGTTTGGGATTCATAATAGAATAGGCAGAAAGAAATCAATAAGCTAGAATGCGTGTTGAACTATACATAAGCAGTAGACAGGGATACCAAAAGCAGTAAATAAACACATTGTTATGGTGCTGAAACTTAAATCAGGACATACCAGTTTCAAAGAAACAAATAGAGAGAAAGCAAGTAACAGGTCTTGTAACAGGCCACAGTGTAAGCAAACAAAAGAGAATACTTTTTTGAGTATAAGTGTAAGTTCAGAAAGACTGTGTGTGATCTGTGTGTGTGTTTGTGTCAATGAAAGGGTCGGGTATTTATAGTGTGAAGAATAGGCAGAAACAAGGTAAGAAAACAATTAAGGAACTGAATATCAATTAAAAATCAATCAATACAAGACTTCCTTTAATTAAGGAATTCAGACTCAAACGGTAAAACTATTTAAGGAAAGAAATCAAATAAATATCTTGTGCAAAGTAGGCAATCAGGGGTAAATACATAGGGGTTTTAATTAAGGGAAGAATTTTGAAATACACGGTTTAAAACAAATAAGGTAAGGATCCGTCAGTATTCAGTAAATCAAGGGGGTTAGAGATTTTGTAAGCATTGGTCCACGAATGAACCAAGTCAGAAAAACTAAGGAAAACTTTTGACTCAAATCGAGTAACAGGGAAGTCAGCAAACATGGAAAGAAAATCAATCAAACTTATACAAAGGAAGTCTGAAACCAATCACAATTGAAAGCCATTTAGGAGGGAAAGTTCAGCACATATAAAGAGTACACAAGTATTAGGCATGCGAGGCTGAATTTAGGACAAAGTGAAAGTGTCATGCAATTGCAAAATAAGTAAGTAGTAGACTATAGGAATATGGTAATTCAGCGATAGCATGCGAAAAAGGGGTCAAGTAAAGGTCTTATAGAGTTTAGCAAAAGTCAGAATCATATGAAGAAACAAAATTGAAGCAATGATTTTGAAACTTAATGAAGCAGTAGATGAAACAACTCTAGGAACTCAAATAGATCCAAAAGATTAGGGGTTTTGAAATCAAGCAAGTTCAGAGATGAAGCACAAGCAAGTCACATAGCCAATGGTCTCAAAACTCGGATGAACCCTCAAATTTAGGGTTCTTGCCATTAACCGAGTGCAGAGACGAAAGGGCAAGTGATTAATGGAAAAGATACTAATTGAAACAGGTTCAGATGTCTCGAAAAGGAACTGAGACCTTTAGCATGCTCTTTTAGTAGCAGGAATTCATGATAAGCATAGTAAAAGAACAACATGTGAAACCAGTAGAAGAACTAGTAGAAGAAACAAATAAGGACATGGTGAACAACCTAACAAGAACACAGTAGGAGAAAACAAGGTAGACGAAATAACACAGTAGAAGCAACTGATAAAAACATGGTAGAAGAACTTAACAAGAACCCAGTAGGAGAAACATAGCAGAAGAAACACACAAGAGAAAAAAAAATCAGAGAAACACACAAGAGAAAAAGAAAATCGGAGAAACATAACTCAAAAACCCTAGATCGGAAAAATAAAGGTTTTGAAAGCAATGGTTTTAAAAAAAATATCAAAAAATCGTTTTAAAAGTTTGGGGAAAACCTGGATCTAGAACAGATCTAAAGAAATTAGAAGAACCACAAAAGTTAAGGTTTTCAGAGAAACCCAAACGGTGAGAAAGACTTGGATCGTTGTTGATCTAACCAGGAGGAGTCGAGGCCAGGCTCGAAACAGGCATGGCTTGCCGGAGCAAGGCCGGAGATGGCCATAAAACTTGAATCGAACTAGGTCTGGATGAAGCTTCTTCGTATTCAGACCATGAAACCTCAACGAACAAGTGTGTAGGAACCTTAGAGGGCCGTGGGTGGTGAGACCACCATAGATTCAGGCCAGGAGGTGGCCGGAAAAGGTGAGTGAGACTCATCGGAGCTGAAAGGGAGGGGGAAGGTTCTAGAGAGAACCAGAGATAGAGAGATAGATGAGAGGGTCGGTTGAGTGAGGAATGAGAGGGGTTTGGGGGGGGGGGGGTCGTTTGGGCTTAATTAGGTAAGAACGAATCTGGGCCGTTGATCAAAATTGATCAACGGCCAAGATTTAATCAGACTGGGTCGGGTATATTTAAGAATTGGGCTTGGGTCTTGGGTTGGGGTATTGGGTTTTAATTAAGCTAAATTAGGAAGCCAAAATCTGGCTTTAAGTTAAATAGCCCTTTTTCCCCATTTAATTTATAAAAAATAATGAATAAATTTCTGAAAACTAATTGAAAGAACTAAAATGATTTATAATATATAATTACCAAATTAAAAATACAGGACTTAATTTTATGAATATAAAACACAATTGAATCTTAAAATGGCTAATATTGCAATTATATGCGATTTAGCTAAAAAAATACTAAATAAATTTGTAAAAATATGCAAAAAATTACCTTAGCTATATCTTAGCATAAGTATAAAATNTCGGGTAGGGGTAATTGGGCCATGGGTCGGGTTTTAATTGAAATTGGGCTGGAAATTGGGGTCCAATTTGGGGTCAGATTTTAGGCTAAAATTGAAACGAATTGGGCTATTATTTAAATAGCCAACCTTCCCTTTTAAAATTATAAAAAATAGTAAATTGATTTTTGGAACTAAATTGAAAGCACCAAAATGATACATAATTATCCATCTAAAAATATGAGTATGAATATGAGATGAATTTAAACCTAATAATGGCTAATATTGCAATTATGCAATTCTATCCTTAAAATACCAAATAAATTTGTAAAAGATGTGTAAAAAATACCTTAGCCATATCTTAGCATAAGTATAAAATTTCAATAAATGAATTACCAAAATAATAATTTTGAAAATAATTATTGGGTTTTTATGGATGAAAGGGGAAATAAATCAGTTTAAAAACCTTAAAAAATTATGGAAAAAATATTAAAATGCTTGGACATACTTATATATGCATATATATGCTATTTTTGAAGATATTTTGCACATAAAATATACAGGGAAAAATTGGGTATCAACATCCTTAGGCAGATTTTGACCCATACATTACCCTCAAGGATAACATTGGATGGATTAGATTATGACCATTAATAGTTGTAATTAGGGCTGCTTATCGGGCGGATTGGGCAGTTATTTACTCTTAACGGTTTGGCTTATCGGTTATCGGCTTTTAAATGTATTAATCCGCTAGCCACCCGATAAGATATCGGGCGGATTGGTATCGATTTAGCTCTTATCGGGCGGTTTATCGACCTAATTCAATCTATATTGCGTGCATTAATTGTTTGCTGACCGGTGACTCAAAATAAAATTCCTATGCTCAGCAGACTACAGTCCAGTCTATACTCTATAGAATACAATAGATGAGTCCATGACAAGCACAGAACAACTATAATTCTCAATTAATTGAATCAGTACTCTTGCGTTGTTCTTTTATATTTCTTGACTAAGCACAGAACAGCTATAATGCTCAATGTTTTGTCTTGTACATTTTGCAGATGTCAAACTCGACTGTAGGGATCTACCATAAAATGTAAGTCCCCTAATGTCATGCAATTTTGAAAACTATACATGCAATTTTTCTGAATACCTTTATATACGCAGGTTTAATGTATAAGTACTGGACGACGAGAAATATCTTGGACTAAATAATGGATGTACCTTAGCCGATGCTTACTGTGTCGGACGTGGAATGCTCATTTCTGCGATTGCACCCGACTACTAGATAGAGTGCTGGAAGTCGACGAGATAGAGTACTGGAAGTTGAAGAAGGGTTTTTGATTATTATATATATATATATATATATTCTCTTAGCGGGTTAACGGATTATCCGTTAAGAAAATTGAATAATCCGCCCCCAAACCGATAAGCCGTTAATAAAAAAATTTCAATCCATTCCCCGTCCGTTAAACCGTTAACCCGATACCAATAAGCCATTAAGCTTCAGTTTCGGTTCGGTTTTCGGTTTCGATTCGGTTTTGAACACCCCTAGTTGTAATAACCTTTTTCTCTCTAAGAGTTTGAAATTCGAAGAGTAATGGCAGAAGTTTCTCACTTAATTGTCTAAAAGGAATATAAAAACTTTCATTTATTAATGATTTTTTTAATTGCATAAATACATCAGCAGAAATTAAAAAGAGAACCGATAATGAAAATCGAATTAGGTAAGAAATTTCTGTCAACACCACTAGACAATAAGCATCACTGATTATCAACAAGCATATTCCCTTTCCTTTTCCTTTTTTTTATTTTTAATTTAAAAATTTAAAAGAATTTGTTTGGGCAGGAATTAAAATAAAATGATCCCCTTCTGGGTTACAAAAGAAGCGCCAAACAATTTGGATCCACATGGACATGGTAACTGTCTTTTGCTTATACACCATCTGTCCATCTCTTATTCTAAAAAGATTTGGCATTTCTGCTCCCCATTAGCAACTCCATTCTCATTCACCATTTCAATCCACCCAAAATCCCATTTCAGGTATCCTCTCTCTCTCTCTCTCTCTCTCTCTCTCTCTCTCAATTTTCCTATCATCTCGATTATTCTGGGTTAAATCTATCCACCAAGTCTTACATGATCTAGATGTGTATACATATACTAGATTTGATGAGTATTGGGAATCAATTATAATTGATTAAGATTATAGGTTTTCGTAAGTACTCATATCCTAAACCTTTAGGCTTCAACTGTACACAATTGATTAAAGATAATTTGGTAATTTTACACGATTAGTTCGTGAATCTGTTAAGTATTTTCCGAATTAAATATTGCTGTAATAATTTCTGTCTTGAAACAATTTAGATTGTGATGTTGAAATGGGTCAAAAGTTTGTGATGTTTCGGAATTTGCCCCCAAATTTTTAGGTTTTTATGGTCGGAAATGGGTAGCTCATTGCCCATACACCTGTAGTTTCGAGTTAGGCATGGAAAGTTTGAACCTCTTTTGCTCATTGCCTACTTTCTGCAAGTAAAAGAGTTTTAAGTTGGGAAACTGAAAAGGCTAAACAGGGAATTAAAAGAAGGCTGGATTCAGTGAGCTGTTTTTCTTAACCACTGACGAGTGAACAAGATAGGTGTGATAAAAGAAAAGGATTTGTTTCGCTCTAGCTGAGTTTGCATGAAACATGAAATGACTGAGGCTCAAAAAGTTACTGTATATATCATATTCAGCAGGGATGGTCTTGTGTCTTCTCTGTCTGTCTCTTGTTTTCTTGTTGGTAGCCATCTTTTTTATGTGGGATACGTTGAGTTAAAACTTGATCAATAGAGTTCATACATTTGCTTGATATACTAAAGACTATTACTGGCTCCAGGCAACTTCTCATTCTCTGGGTTCTTTTGGTTTCTGGATAATATCATTAAGACTCATTAACCCCACCGGTCCCCATATGATTGAAGTATCTTGTATTTGGGGAGTGTGATGGGATTCTATATTTCAACCATTATGGATTAGGTGTAACAAACTGCCCCTTCTCACAGTCGCTGCATTCTTGACCCTGAAAGCCTATTGTGTCCTTCATGGGTCATTTTCTTTTAATTTGGGATTCATCTTTTTTTTTTGGACTGAATCATATTATAAAAACGAAATATTCTGTCCAGTAACCCCTAGTTGTATAATCCTGCCAAATCCCAGTTATGAACCAAACAATTCCCATGGATTTTGCAAATAATTACGGACACGCTGTAATGGGGGCACAAGAACTGACAGCGCTTTATAGGGAAAAAGTTAGCTTCTATGTGCTAGTGGATTTCTGTTATGGGCTTATTTGTAATTAACAAGCTTTTGCTCTTGCTTTCTTCAATGCTATTTGAAAGATGATAAAACTTTAAGCCATAAAGAAAATGTGTCTCTACTATCCTGAATGATATTATCTAATCTGATATTGCTTCCATCTTTCATTGCTCTAAATTTTGCTTATTGTTGCCTGTCCAGAGGATTGGCAAGTTTAGCAACAATTCTGAACTTCCCTTTACTTTCCTTTTCCCCCCCCTTCTTGTTTCAGAGCGAAGCTAATTTACATCACTCATGGATCGGCTAACCAGTGCTGCACGTCTCATGATAGTCTCAGATCTAGACCATACAATGGTGAGTTTGTCATAGTTGTCATTTCTCCTGCATATGCTGCTGTAACTTACGTGACATTTTGTTGTACAGGTAGATCATCATGATGCCGAGAACCTTTCTCTGCTCAGATTTAATGCCTTATGGGAGGCCAATTATCGTGATAACTCTTTGTTAGTGTTCTCAACTGGGAGATCACCTACACTTTACAAGGAGTTGAGGAAAGAAAAGCCCATGCTAACCCCAGATATTACTATTATGTCCGTGGGAACTGAAATAACATATGGTAACTCGATGGTGCCTGATGATGGTTGGGAAGCTTTACTAAATAACAAGTGGGACAGAAAGATAGTAACAGAGGAGACTAGCAAGTTTCCTGAACTCACTCTACAGGTACAGTTATGGGTTGGGATGAGATCATTTGTTACTTCAGTTTCGATTACAAAGCTTAAAGTGAATAGTAGAACTTGAAAATCAGTTATGGTTTATAAATAGTATGTAAGCTGAAACATAACTTCAGCAGCTGATATCTACAAAAGCAACTTTTTTTATCCTTGCAGTCAGAGACAGAGCAGCGACCACACAAGGTCAGTTTCTATGTTCAGAAAGACAAAGCACAAGATGTAATGAAAACTCTTTCCAAGCGCTTGGAAGAACGTGGGGTAAGATACAGCTTTTGCACTTCAGATTTTGGCATCGATATGGATAAGTTCATACAGCAAGAAAAATTCATGCTGTTCTTGCTATGCTTCCGTGAACACAATTCTTTTAGATTCATATTGAGCTTCATTTTTGTAAAATCTTTTTCTTGCTGTCGTGATCATCAGCTGGATGTCAAAATAATTTACAGTGGAGGGATGGATCTGGATATATTACCACAAGGTGCTGGGAAAGGACAAGCACTTGCTTATCTGTAAAAGAAGTTGAAGAGTGAGGGAAAATTACCAAACAACACCCTTGCCTGCGGTGACTCCGGGAATGATGCTGAGCTATTCAGTATCCCGGATGTGTATGGTGTAATGATTGGTGGTTCAGCTATTCCAACATATCCTTATAATCTGGTAATATATTCTCATGTGTGTGGTCAAGAGTACTCTCTGAATGTACAGTCACTTTGCAGGTAGCTAATGCACAGGAGGAATTATTGCAATGGCATGCTGCAAATGCGAAGAATAATCCTAAAGTAATTCATGCAACAGAGAGGTGTGCTGCCGGCATCATACAAGCTATTGGTCATTTCAACCTAGGTCCAAGTACCTTCCCTAGAGATGTTATGGATATGTCAGACTGCAAGATGGAGAACTTTGTTCCTGCCTATGAAGTTGTCAAATTTTACCTGTTTTTCGAGAAATGGAGGCGTAGAGAAATTGAGCATTCTGAGCATTACCTGTCAAACCTGAAAGCAGTGTGTGTATGTTTAGTACCCTATACCTACTGTTATTTCATTTTCTTATGTGTATTTGTGTTATAAATTTGACCATGGATTCTAGAGAATTTTCGCTCCCAATGTAAACCAACAAACCCCCCTTCCCCCCCCCCCCCCCCACAAATGCCTGTGCAGAACATAAGCACCCTTTATGCTTTTTAAGTGTAGCCTCTAATTGAGCTAACCTCCTTGTGTTGTTGAAACTCCTTCCACCACCACAGGGAGAAGCTTGTATTGTTTTATTTGTGTGGTATCCACATATATGAATTTAGACGTAGCAAACTGAAGTAGTATCCTAAACCTACTCAATAAAATAATAAAATAAGTGGTATCCTATACTCTCTCCCTGTCGACCCTCCTGGTTTTTTGATTTCTGGTTGAGTGAGAGAGGGAAGGTGAGAGGTGGTTTCAAACCAGGTGATTATTTTCTCATTGTGGTTGGTGATCCTTATTTCGCTAACTCTTTTGTTGCTGCAGAGACATCTGTACTTTTGTCCACCCATCTGGTGTTGAGAAATCCCTTCAGGAATGTGTAACTTTATTCAGGACATGTCATGGCGACAAACAGGGGAAACAATTTCGTATTTGGGTCGATCAAGTTTTACCTGTACAGGTTGGTTCAGACTCATGGTTGGTGAGTTTCAAGAAGTGGGAGCTCTCTGGTGAGTATCTTTTACCTCATGAGGTGGTCTTTCATTTTGCTCTAAATTTGTACATGCTCCAAGAAGTCACCGTGTCCCTCTTCACTTTTACAGAATGTCACACACCCTGGGTTTCACGTAATAATTCCGACTTCATTTACTAAATTCATTTCTGTCCCTCCCTCAGTGTCTGTGTGGCTCAAACACCCTTTTATGGGATCTTCTCTCCATCTTGATGCAGATTTGTTTTCCTTCTTTCCATGGTAGTGAAGTAACTTTCTTAAAGGTTTAAGGAGGACCCGAGAATCTGTAGTTTTTTTATTGCAACTTGTTATTAGATCTGGTTACATATCAAATTCTATCTTAAGCTTTCAAAGGTTGTTTAAAGTTTTATTATTTGAAGAACAAACAACTAGGAGGATCAGCTTAGCGAACCAACTGGGAAGCCAGGTAATTTCGCCATTCACAAAAATTATCATGACAAGCTTCCCCAAGGGGATGCGAGATAACTTCCGTCAAAATCATAAGTTTCCATTCTGGTGTAATGTGAATTCTCTTCACCCGGTTCTTTCTTGACTTAATTCCTTTTTTTTTTCAACTTAAATTCTTTCTGTAGGAGTAGAGTAAAGAGATATTACTTACATTGTTGAAATAGAAATCTTTTGTTTGCTTCAAGCATGTAAACATGTTGTTCTTTGAAGTTGTGTTCCAGCAACAAAGACGAGCCATCATGGAACAGTTGATGCCTGAAGCCATACTTTAAATATGCCTCAACTAGATAATCATTTGGGTTCTCCTTTGGATTAATTTGTCTAGCTATCTCAATCACACGGCAGTTTTACATACTCATTCCTGCAAACCACAATCATAATCTACCAATTGTGCACTGATTCTGTTCCTTGCGCTACGAGACTTCTTGAGCATACACCAAATCCCATGTTAAGCCCTTACAAGACCAATTCAAGCTTCAGTTGTGAACATTAGTTGTTGGAGCATAGTAATGAGTGAAGTATCTAGCCTTTCCATTTTTGACCTTAAGTGAGGTTTAGGTGCTTGTAATATTTGAGCCCCTAATCTTTGGATTACAGTGCCTACACATCTTTGGTCTACTAAGAAGTATAAAAAGAATAGCTCTTATAAAAAAATAAAGACTAAACAGAACAGTCTTGCAACCAAAGAGGCTCCCCATTTTCCTTTTTGATTTCATGGTAGGAATAGATCAGGTTCAGTAAAACTATTATGTGGTTTGCCTCTTCCGAGGGAGGTGGGAGGAGTTCATATAGTGATGTTGATTCAGATTTCATGTCATTATACTCCTTCTGTTGGTCGTTCATGATTGGTGTTGGGTCAGCACAGTTGCCGAACCACACCATTCACTGGCTGCTTGCCTTTTACCACACCTGCATTTTCGTTCTCGTAGCTCTTTTATCGTTTTCACATTGCTACTGATTCCTGCAGGTGAAGACAGGCGATGTTGCATAACTACAGTCCTATTAAGTTCAAAGGTAAAATTTCAAAATTGCAGACAAAGGATTTTTCCATGTAAATCTTACAACTGAAACCTATTATAATCTGTCTTTGTTCCCAGAATAAGACTGTCGCAGATGGACTCACTTGGACACACGTACATCAGACATGGCTGAATGGAGCTGCAGCAAGTGACTCTACGACCTGGTTCTTTTAGATTGTCATCTCAGTTTAACTCTGATAAGTCAGTACTCAGTTTCCCAGTTCACCCAGAATAAACGCAAAATAGAAACTATATCAATATGCATCAGTGGCTGCTGGTGGCTTCCGCTTCTTCCTGGCCCGTTCTTGTCTCATTCTTCTTCATTGATAATCAGTGTATAACCATCTAAAGTCTAAACCGTGAAGATGGCTTCATCATTTGTAGTATAAAAGTTTATATAAGCTGCAACAGTTGTAGCTGTCATTTCTTATTCACAATGAGATTGTTACAAATTACTGCATGGTGGCCTCTGAAGGTTGTGGTATCATCTTTAAGCCTGGATCACATGTATGTTTACTACGTAAATTATAGTGGCTTATAACATACTTTGCCTCCCAAACTTGCACTAATTTTTTTTAATCACCTATCCAAGGGGTCGGCACTCCGTCCTTTTTTGTTTGCCTTGGCAATTGACGCGCCCCATCCAAGGGGAGGTACCGTGATGCATGCTATTTGCAGATGATATTGTATTGATTGACGAGACGCGAGGCGAGATGCACGCGAGGTTAGAGGTATGGAGGCAGACCTGGAGTCTAAAGGTTTCAAGTTGAGCAGGACCAAGACAGAATACTTGGAGTATATGTTCAGTGGTGAGACTCAAGGAGGGGAAGGGGATGAGAGGCTGGACTCGTAGGTCATCCCTGGGAGAGGAAGTTTTAACTAACTTGGGTCTATTATACAAGGGGATGGAGAGATTGATGAAAATGTCACACATCGTATTGGGGCAGGATGGATGAAATGGAGACTCGCTTTTGGTGTTTGTGTGACAAGAAGGTGCCATCGAAACTTAAAGGTAAGTTCTACAGAGTGATGGTCAAACCAACTATGTTGTATTGGGCTGAGTGTTGGCCGGTGAAGATCGCTGATGTCCAGAAGATGAAGGTAGCAGAGATGAGGATGTTGAGATGGATGTGCGAGCACACCAGGTTAGATAGGATTAAGAATGAGGTTATTCGCGACAAAGTTGGTGTGGCCCCTATTGAGGACAAGATGCGGGAAGCGAGGCTCAGGTGGTTTGGACATGTGAGGAGGAGCACAGACGCCTTAGTGAGGAGGTGTGAGAGGTTGACATTGGAGGGCTTACGGAGAGGTAGGACGAAGAAGAAGTGGGGAGAGGTGATTAGGCAAGATATGGCGCAGCTTCAGCTGACCGAGACATGACCCTTGATAGGAAAGTGTGGAGGTCAAGGATTAGGGTAGTAGTGTAGGTGGTCTAGATTGTTCATACCGGTAGTATTGACACGCATTCTCGCATTCTGTTTGTAGTAAGTTTTTATGACTAACCGTTATTTTCTTTTATTGTTGGTCATCTTGCGATCTCGTTGTTTTCATTCTGCTTTTATATAGCTCTTTGGTGTTGTCCCTTCTTGTCTATATTTTCATTAATGTGGTGCTTATACTTTCCTGAGCCGATGGTCTATTGGAAACAACCTCTCTTTCCTCACAAGGTTGAGGTAAGGTCTGCGTACACACTACCCTCCCCAGACCCCATGGCATGGGATAATACTGGGTATGGTGTAGTTGTTATTTTTACCTATCCAGAAGAAGCGTGTGTAAGGTTTAAATAATATTCCCC